CATCACCTAATTTAACTTTTAAATTATATCTAGTCATTCGATGAAGTCGAATCATATTTTCTGTTAATCCTTCTTCTGCCATAACAATACAAATAGTACTTTTTCTTCTTTTTCCTTTAATCAAAATACTATCCCCTTCAAAAAAATTTAATTCTTCCATTCTTTGTGGATTCATATACACAATTGACATATCATCTTCTTTACTTTCTTCTACAATAAGACGGTGTTTTTTGACAATTATCTTTTTTGGTTCTTCTTCATTCATTGGAATTTCTGGTTTTTCTTCATTCATTGGGACTTGAACTTGTTCTTCTTGAGCCATAACTATTTGATTCTTTTCTTCAAAACTTCAGAACTTTTTATCTTTTCTCTTGAGGTTTTATTTTTCTTTTGTCTTTTTTTAAGGGTTTCATCAGGTTTTCTTAAAATCGATGATTACTTAAAAGACTCATTAAAAATAGAATGGATAGACAAGAACTTCAAATCACTAATGAGGAAGAGTCTTAACAATAAAAACACTCCTCTCGTATATCAGGATGCAAACGGTGATACTCAAATAATTACTTTAGAACAACTCAGTAAGGATGAATCAATCCACTTTGGAGATACTGTCATTTCTACTCAACCATCCTTTGAGGTATCTGGAGGAAGTCAAGTCTTTAAAAGTGCAAAAGAAAACGTTGAAAGTGTAGAAAGAAAAATGCAAGTCCTTTACAACTTACAACATGAAAGAGGGAAAAGTGACACAACATCTGATCAAACACAACAAAAAGTTAAAACTAACTCTCCTTTTCAACACGCAACTCTAAAACCAAAATTTAACTTCTTTGAATAAAAGAAAGAAGAGAAAGTATAAACTTCTTTTTAATCAACAAGACCAAATCAATTAGAGACAAATGTGATGTCTATGAAAAGATTTGTGTTTTTGAAAAGAGTTTTTGTATATCCTTGTTTTATTAAAACATAGAAGAATAAAAATTAAACAATTGATTCAGTTGGGAACTACTATATTTTCAATAAAAATAGAAAAAGTTAAGAGAGAATAATTGAGAGATAAAGAAAGCATAGTTTCAGTGAAAAAGTTAATTTAAAAAAGAATTACAAGTTAAGTAAAATAATATTAGAGGTAATACCTATTATTTTTGTTAAATTCCTTTTAAAAAATAGGATTATTAGAAGTGATGATTTCAAGTGTAACGAATTGATAAAGAAATAATGAAGAATGAGTTATTTATTTTCTTTCTTTTTTCTTTTATAAGTAAAAACCCTTTTTTAAATTTTTTAAAGAAAAAGAAGTTAGAAAAGATTATTTAATGTCATTGCTTGGACAGTTACTTGATTTATATTGTGAAGGAAAATTATGTATTTATTGCGTTGCAAGGTTTTCGTTTAGAATAGGAGAACGATACTACTCACAAAGTATGGAAGAAATTATAAATAATTTATTTCAAGCAGAAAAAAGAGAGGTTGTCCATCCAAAGACCAATTGTGTTATTTGTTTTAATATGTCTATTTATTTTCAAAGTGATGAAATAGTTGAACGAATACATGAAGCATTAAAAGAATCAGGACATGTTTATGAAGGAACATTTTATATTAATACATCATTTCCACAAGCTATTTTTGTTAGAGAAATAGCATTATGTAGATATATAACAAGAACATTTCCATCAAAGAATTATTCTCCTTTTAGGCTAAAAGATACATTAAGATTTATTTTAATGAATAAAATTAAAGATTGGAAATGTGAATTGGAATCACCATTAAAATTAACAATTGAATTTACTCATCAACAATTAAGAGAAGATGGGGATAAACTCATTGAAATATCAGTTGGAAAAAAGAGAAAAAGAATGGAAACATTAACATCAACAATAGCAATGAATGTCATTGAAAATATTCCATTAAAAGTATTTGAAGAATCATTTACTATTCCACCTATTAGAAATGAAGAAGATCCAGGAAAGTATAGATTTATATTTGAAAGAGATTATATTTATATTGGTGGAAGATATAGAAAATACTCAAGACAATTAAGTCAA